CAAGCAGCTTTACTGTGAGATGAGAATCAGTTTTGCTTTTGCTTCAATTTGGACCCAATGTAAAAAGTAATGACCCAAATCAAACCTGTGAACATTATCGGATGCAGCTGGGTTGCATTTTCTGTTATCTCGCATAGTTTGAATAATGGTTCATGTAGCTAAACTCTTCATATAACAATCTAGTTAAGACTAATTTGAGCCCCAAATGTCATATAAACTTTCACTGGACATGCAGCATTTGTGTCAGCATTGAAGGATATGGGAAGCGCTTTCTTTTAATTTAAAGGTTGATAAGCCTATTTATTTTGCTATAATAACTTAACATTAGTGTGACTCTTTTTGCAGGTTAGTCACCTAACAGTAGGTGGCGGTAAGTGACTGTCTTTATGAGTGAGTCATCAGATAATTCATTTCAAAAACGCTGATTCATTCAAAAAATACAAGCGCAGGCCTGCCTCCCAATATGCAGACTATCATTCCTAAATTCTATGTGATATTAGTAATTTTCAATACTATTTTGGGCAGATAGGGTTGATATGCACATTGGGACACAGGGGCAAGTTCATGCTAATTCAGGAACAAATCACTTAAAGTCACCATGAAATCAAAATTGAAAATTCTTATTTTTTTAATGGAATACTGTAGTGTTTATTATAAATAATTTATCCGTGCACTTCATTATTTTTTAAAAATTCATGTGCCCTCATAATCTTTAATCAAAAACGTTAACCTCCTCTCCCCCTCAAAACGACTCATCTTCTCTTCCGGTCACGAGCTATGGCGCAAGGGCGGAGCTAGTGACGTGAGGAGTAAACGCTGGGATAAACAACAGGGGGAAAAACTGAAGCTGATGCTTCACTTTATAGAAATCAATGCATTGAGACCAGTGTTGACGCAAGCCATGGGGGAGTACACTACCCTTACAAATTGAAAGGATATTAGGATATTACCCCAATATTACTTTTAGGACATTGCAAACAATTTTTTTATGAATATGACTTAACCTGATGGAGGACACGCTCAGTCATTCAGGCAGTCTCTCTCTCTCTCGCACGTGCTGTATTGTCGTCTTCCTCAATAAATAAATTTCTTCATGCTAGGGTGTCAGCGGTGAGTCCAGTGGAGAGAAATCCCCCCACAACTAACTGCAAACTGTGGGCGCATTATGCAAATATTCCCACACAGTGACCTAGATATGTGGGGGCGTGTTAGAACGAGCCATTTTAGGGGGGTGTGGCAGAGTCTTAACTTTGATAAAGAATATCTCTTTGGTTTTGAGACTTTAGTCTTTGCAACTTCAGGGATCTTATCTATTTACGAACAGCTTGTAACACTCCAAAGAGAAAGGAAAACTTGAAATCGCATCATATGACCCCTTTAATGTTGTTTCTCGCAATTCTTGGTGTTGAGCAGTTCTGCTGTGGCTTTGTTTGGAACTATTTTCGTTGGCAGAACAAAAACATACGATTAAAGTAATAACTGGAAGAATATTGTGTCTGAAACATTCGATATTAACATTGTTTATTGAGCAAAACTCGGTCATTAGCCTACAACTTAATTTACAAAATTTATGTGATGGAAATACTAACAAAACATGGTCTAAGAACGTTTTGCTATTGAAAATGATATTTTTGTTATGTGAACATTGAAAATGTTCAGGTTTTTTATTTGTATTTTTTACGTTTTTCCTGGTTATGCGAACATTAAGGGAACATTCAATTTGATCATTTTGCAAACATTATGGAAACATTACTTTTAAATGTACTCTGAACATTCTGAAACACATAACATTAAAAAAAAAAATGTATGTATGAATAAAAGTTGTATAAATTGTATTTTTGTGCTAATGTTTTAAGAACATTAATAATGACCAGATAACTTTGAAGGAATATTCTGTTAACACTAGGCTACTGGAAGAATATTTGTTCATAACTTTAAGAAAACCTTACCAGAGCGTTAGCCGGAGTCTTGAGAACATTTTCTGTTAGCTATGACATTCTGTAGCAAAACATTTGCATTCCCTCAAGGAACTTTGCATTTGCTCAAACTTTTGTTGTATATATATATATATATATATATATATAGGCTATACGCTTTGCATTTTTACAAAAGTCAGTGATTCCTCTGGATTTACAATTTGGTTGATAGTGTGGCAGTTTAGGTGAAAAGACATATTTAGTTACTTAATTCAGAAACTGAATTCTAAAACCTATAGTAAAGTAAAGTTTTAATTTCTTTTAGATCACCATAGGTGTTTTCAAAAGTGCCAAGACTACCGTGTAGACTCATTTTGTCTGCAAAGTGACTGAGCAAGAGAAAAAAAGCGAGAGGATATGGGGGGTCTATTCAGCCCCTCAGTCTATGTCAAGTCTCTGTGGCCATTTGTCAGGGAGCATGAATGCTTGCCTTCATCTTCTCCCTTTTTTTCTTCTTTAGGCCAACCACAGTTCAGCTTTAAGCTGATTTTGCCTCTCTTCTTTGTGGGCCGAGAGTAGTCCGTTCTTCCGTGGACCAATAGACTATAAGTTTAGGAGTGACATCATTGCCAGATTATGCTCTTGCCAAGTGTCATGAAAGAAACTCTCTCCGTTGTTCCCCAATGAAAAGAAAAGAGGCAAAGAGGCTCTGGGAAACCCTGATACTCCTCCTTGCCTGCCATGGGAACTGTTAACACAGAAGAGAAAATATTTCATTTGACAATGCACAGATTGTAATCAGGCCCCGTTCCAGGACCGGACCACGGTTCACTCTGGGACTGCATTAAATTTTAGGCCAGACTTGTTGCATAATGGCTAGTTATGTTTAGTGTGAGAGAGTGATTCAAACTAATGTGTCTTCATTTGGTGTCAGTTTCACATTTTCAGTCATGGAGAGACTACGTGTAAACTGAGCTCAGACATCCGTTCATGACTGAAAATCAACAACCATCTAGGGTACATATGTCCCAATATAGATTTTCATGTCTTTACTGAGCCAATGAGCACCATTCAAAATTACATACTAGTCTAATGTCACAAACTTGCATATAGGAAAACGGAAATTAATAATGCTTAGTATTAATAGCTGTAATTTATTTTTCAGTATTAATGCCTGATGTCTGCCAAAAATCAATGCCATATGAAAATATTTTAATATTTTATTTTAAATTACATTCCTAATTTAATATATATTCTAAAAAAAACCTAAGAAAAAATAAGAAAAAATAAATCTAACATGCGATTAAGGGTATTTTAGAGTAGGTTCGGTTAGGAATAGTCTCTGTTGGCTTGAAGATGTTTAAGGGCTGTTTTTGTCTTTTTTTGGATGCTTGAATAGCAGTCTGGCAGAAACCTTGAATAGCTCAAAGCAGGGTCTGCATACCAATGCAGTTAACACTTGGCACTATTGGCAGTTTTTTGTAGTATTGCGAGAGTGATGATTACAAAAAATATTGATATGGGCATATTTTAATCTTTTTGATGCATCTCATCTTAATTTTATTTTAAATAGGTATTTAAATGTAGTTGTTTAATTTGACATGAAATGTATTTAAATTAGATTAGATTAGATTCAACTTTATTGTCACTGTGCAGAGTACAAGTACAGAGCCAATGAAATGCAGTTAGCATCTAACCAGAAGTGCAAATAACAGAGTATATAAATAAATATAGATTATGTGTATATACATTAAGCTTTATGACATATAGTGCAAGTTATGAGGTAGGAGGGCAGAGACCAGCTCAATGCAAATGACTGTACATACAACATAGGGTGCAAGGAATGTAAAAACAGTAGGTGTATTATACAGTGAGTATAAACAGAAGGTGCATTATACAGTGAGGTACGTAAATAGCATATGTTTATATATGGCCAATGACCATAACAGTGCAAATGGCATCCGGAGGTAGAAATGTACAAGGGAATGTGCAAAATATCAGAGAAATGTGCAAAATAACAGAGGGAATAATAAGAACATTGTGAGTGAGGAGTGCAGACAGGTTAATGTTCTGCATTAATGTCTGTAAATGTAGGTTTTGATAAGACTTACTGGTAAGATTGTGAAAGAACGATAGATGCATTTGAGTAATTTATCTAACAAAACCTTTTCACAAAAATTACACAAGGACCAGAAAGGTTACATGAGAGCATATTGCAGTAATGCCACCTACTGGTGACAGTGGATGTTAACATAATGGCCTGGGTGATACTGAAATACAGTATTTCTTCAAAAAGACCTGACCAAAGAAGAAAATAGAAAAATACTGAAAAAACAAACAAACAAACAAACATATAAAATAAGTAATAAAAGAGCCCTCAATCAATTGTTGTGATTATTGCAAACATTTATTTCTTCTAAAACATAAATCAGACCTTAAGCAGAATTCAAGTCTGTATTACAGTTACAGCTGCATTACATTTCCAATAGCATTTACAGTTGCATACAGGCTGGATTGATTCTGCATACAGACCATATTGCTGATTCTGTGGAGAGCTTTATAAATATGATTTCAGTTTATGGCTATACATTGTACAGAGAATGATTTTGAATATCTGACCACAAAACCATGCAAAAGAAAAAAAAAAATAATGAATACAATATTACATTATACATTTTTAGTGTGTTACAAAACACAAATTAAACAGGGTCTGGTTTAGATACATTTTTAAACAAAATTCATGCAAACATCATGCAAAACTATTATCTTTGAGGAACATATTTTTCAAATATGAACTGTAAATTAGATTTAAAAATAACACCACGCAAATTTTAAAGAACTATATGAACTATTGAAAAATGCTGTTATTCATTGCTGCACAGTTTGCATGTAAACACACCAACACGTTTATAATCTACCATGGTTAAAGTAACTATCTTTTTAAAAAGTCCAAAAGAGACCTATTTCTGTTACAAGTGAGCATTGCTATATGCATTTGTACAGGTGACTATACTTCTTTTTCCCAGACATGTCCTGGCCAGGATTGATACTTTGCCTAAAATGTCCAGATTTTGGCTTTGTTTTCTTACTGACATGCTATTTACAGTCCTCATACATTATATGTATTTGCATTGCTTTGACCGTTCTCTGCATCCCACCTTCTTGCACGCAACAATTGGTCAATTAAGCACAATGCCTGCACAAACTACTTTTCAGTCATTACCTTCAGCAAGTACAAAAAAAAAGCCAAAACTCAGACATTTTGGGCCATTTAGAAATCCTGGCCAGGACATGTCTGGGGAAAATAGAATCTACAGTCACCCTAAGTTACTATACATCAGAGAAAAAAAGCTCTTTGTACAGACATGAGTTTATCCTCAATGGAGCCACATGCTGAACTCCTGCAGAAAAGACAGCGGCAGTAAAAGAAATGTCTCCGGGGCGGCCCACCGGCACACTAGTTTAATGGTGTGTCTCACTAGTACACACCATTAAACACTCACTAACATCATTAAATCAAGTAATGAAGTAATGAGCCAGCGAGCCACCAGGGGCAGTGCTGAGAAACACTGAGGTTGCATGCAATACATTTCATCTGGCACATGATTTTATCTTCTGTATGAGTATAATGTGCAATAGACAATTCAGAATGCCATTTAATTGGCTGCTCTATGTTAGGTAGGACTATCCATGTAACATTGCAAAAACACATCCACATTTTTACAGACATTATCTTACATACTACTGTTATCTAACAACTATTGTTATGCGGAGAAATGTAAAAACAGTAGGGTTTGCAATGTAATATATTAAAACAATGCAGTTGCATTGATGTTTAATGCATTTTCTTGGATTTAGCACCACATTTTAGTTTCATTTTGTTATGCAAAATCCAGTGTGTTCATTTATAAAGAGCACTAAATAAAACATATTTGTTTCCTCTGTGATTTATAAAAAGTTTGACAAGTTATATGAAATAAAATGTACGGAAAGCTAAAAAAAGGAGAGAAATAAAACAAAAATAAAAAGTAAAATAAAAATGAATAAAATTATGTATACATTCAGAGGAACTGAGCTTACGGTGGAAAGCTCTTATTTCTCAGTGCAGTTGTTACTTCTGTAAACGGTTTAGTAAACAGTTTTACTAAGAAAAGATACATGAAATCGTTGTTTACTTATTTCTTGATTAATTATATCCTCCCTTCCAGTTGTGCGAACAGTGAACAACTTTCAAACCCCATTCTGACAGAAAACAAAGTGGAATGCTTTGAATTAGCACCCCATCAAAATGAGGTTATGTACCTTGTATGTATAAAATATTACGATCCTGAACCCACTGCAGTGTTCAGAAAGGAAGTTAGTTCTTTCATTACTTCAAGTCAGTGCTGTCTGGACAAACTATACTCACATTCTTTCTTGGACATAAATAGATATTAATCATTCTGAAACAAAAGGCAAATCCATGGTATTAATAAAAAGAGGGATAGCCTTAAGATTATATAATAAATAGTGCAACATTTGCAATCTCTGTCCTTCAAAATGACAAATTATTTGAGAAGGATGTTTTCCAGTTTTAAAATCCAGGAAGTCGTTGCTGGTGTAATGCTGTAGGACCTACTGTGAAGCTCTCCACTGCATCAGAGCAGCAGGTTCCTCAGCGTTCACAGGTCCGTCTTCACTGGCTTTGCCATGTTGTTTAACATCAGACTGCGAGGTTTGTCTGGACTCACCACAGCGGTGGTGAAAAGGGGAAGAACGGATACTGAGTATCATCCTCATCCACAAAGAAACACTGGAAGTAGGGAACGTCCTCTGTAGTGGAAAAGAAATTAGAGGTTGTTTAAAGATTATTTCAGGGAAAACAGGCTTGTCATTTGACCTTTGTCTCCAACTTTGAAATGTTTCTATTGTCAAGATGGTTTATACATTACTACAAGATGACATTTAAAGAATAGGTGCATGTACAGTTTGTGTGGTGTGATCTTAAAGCAAATAAAAGTTCACCATGATCTGAAGTTCACACTTGATATAGTGACAAAACTTACCCTCCTCTATCTCTGGAATATCTTTGGTGACATCAGGTTCTTCTCCTACAGAAGGGTAAATTTCCTTTAATTTATGATTTTAATCAAATCATTTTACAATACATCATGGTTATCATGAACTAAATGACAACTAAAACTGAAATAAAAAGGTTTAGTAATTTTGATGCGTTTTATTTTAGTATTTCAACTAATTTAAAACACTTTCTTTCAGAGACTTTTGTATTTTAAGTTGCACCATCAACACTTATTTAGGCCAATACCTTTCAACACACACGCACACACACACATACACATACACATACACATACACACACACACAGACGTATATCTTACTTTTTACTTCCTTGTCCACAACAGGTTCCTTCTCAGTTGGCTTGACTACTGATTACAGAACATTCACAAAACATCAGGTAAATGTTACATTTTACATGTTACGTATATAGTATCAGAATACATGGACTGCACTTTACACCAAATATTGCTTTATACCACTTTATAACTGTTAAACTTGAAAGAAAAAAAAATCAAATACAAAAAAGCATACCTCTTTCTTTGACCTGCTCAGGTTCTAAAACATAAAAGAAAATAGCTTTATTAAAATTATCTTAAATCTAGAAAGTAGAAAGTTCCTGTTTGTTATGTGCTGGACAGTTCTGATTTTCTTAGACATGTTTTCAATATTTCTTCTTAAGGAATATCAGATTCCAGTTAATGTCTACACATGCATTTTTAGCAAGTACTGTTTGTAGATGAAAAGCTTTCTATATTTATGAGTCAACTATTATATACTAACCAGACGTCACATGATCAACTATTAATGTCAAGCCTGTTGATGAATATATAAAATAATGAATATTCTTGGAGTGTAAAGAACTATTGCTAAAATGAATATGAAAAGTCTGTGTTAGTAAATCACTCTATGCAATCAGCCATAGTACCTTTCTTTAAAGGTTCCTTTTCTTCTTTGACCTTCTCACGGGTGATTTCTAGCATCAGGAGAGATATTTTTAGTCACTGATACAACAATAAGAATCTTTTTACTTAGCAAAAAGAAAATGATATTGGTAGGTGATTTCAATTGTTAACAGTAAATATATATTTTACCTTTCTTTTTGGGCTCTGGTCTGATGTTAGCTTTTGGAGCCTCTTTATCTATAATAGAAAAGTTAATAATTTCTTGGATATAATGGATATAAATAATTTGTTGTGATAACCTTTAATCTAAATAACAGTTGTTAGTGATTCACAAAGAAATAAGAATAAAACGAATATAAACTGGTATTTTCACAAAAATAATCTTCTGATTTAGGTTTTTATGGTCTTAACTGCCCACAAAAATCACACTTCAATAAATTCTGTCAATTAACCTATGCATATTTGTATAATATAGCTGCTGTTACATAGCTTTCCGACATACCTTTCTTTGCAGGTGCTGGTTTAGTGATGTTTTTTAGTGCATCACGTTCTGTGTTGTGGAGAAGACAAACTGGTTAAGCTGCTTGCAAGTTTTAATTGCATAATAATAGGACAACGAGAGCTGGATATTAATTTACATTCATTTTGTACTGTATATGTGACCATGGACCACACAGTCATACGGGTCAATTTTTCGAAATTGAGATTTATACATCATCTGGTGTTTTTAGGACAGGACAATATTTGGCCGAGATACAACTATTTGAAAATCTGGAATCTGAGGGTGCAAAAACATCAAAATATTGAGAAAATTGCCTTTAAAGTTGTCCAAATGAAGTTCTTAGCAATGCATATTACTAATCAAAAATTAAGTTTTGATATATTTACAGTAGGAAATTTACAAAATATCTTCATGGAACATGATCTTTACTTATTATCCTAATGATTTTTGACATAAAAGAAAAATCGATAATTTTGACCCATACAATGTATTTTTGGCTATTGCTATAAATATACCCCAGTGACTTAAGACTGGTTTTGTGGTCCAGGGTCACATATATGTAAAGTACAGAGCGGGTAAAAAGACAAAATCAGTAAGTCATAAAATAAATTATACATATTATACATACATATACAGTACACATTATACATAAGCAGAAGAGCCAATCTGACTGAAAGTGCATCATGTAGAATATTCTAATATTGCTTTTATGATAAAAGCATATAATATAATATACAATAAACTGTATCTGGCAACTTTTTAAAAGAAATTAATCCTGAGAATAAACAAGTAAAATAATAGGTTGTGTACGAGAATTACCTGTTTTAATATGTGCTGTCTTAGTAACGTTCATCAGAGCATCACGGTCTAGAAAAGAAAAATCTTTCACTCACTCGCATGTCAACATTACAGGGGCAATCAGACCCTGTTTAGTTGTAGCTCGTTATGTCTACAATTCATGACCAGCTTGTGTAATTGAAAAGCTTTAATACCTTTTTTTGCTGTTTTCAGCTTTTCCTTGGAGACCGCTGCTTTTACCTTTACACCGACAGTCTCTGGCTCTATAAGAGACACAAGCAGCATGTGGTTTAACGTAAGCCAAGAAATTTCAAGCCTTTTTTTTTCAGAAATCCACCGTAGTTCTAACATGGACAAAATACCTTTGATTGTTCTGTTGTCCATCCGTAAAAGTGTGATTTGATTTTGAGTGGACTCCAGATCACTCTTCATTTCACCAATGTCCTTCCTCAGTAAGTCCAGAAGAGACAGTTTTTGGTTGATAGAGTTCAGGAGTTCCAAGTTCAAACCAGTAAGACCAACATCATCTGTGTATTCAGAAGTGTTTTGAAACTTGGTGAAATGTAAGCTTTAATTATTCATTACCACTATCAAAAAAACAACAACAGTATTATAAGTACATTTTGTAAAAGACATGCGAAGGTCTCACCTTTTTTAGGTGTTGGCTCTAATAACTTTTCTTTCGAGACTTCAGGCTCTATAAAACAGTATTGTTTCATGTGATAATCATTTTATATAATAATCATACAAAAGAAAGCAATACTACATGCAGGATGATTTCATTGACATCCATACCTTTCTTTAGAGGCGCTTGCTTAACTTTCTCCTTGAAGACTTCAGACACTGAAAAGGCAATAATATGAAGATTTTTTTCTTTCAATTATTTTTTAATTATTTTTTTTTAAATTGGAGGTCAAATATTGGTAATTCTAACCTTTCTTCTCAGGAGCTGGTTTAGCTTTCTCTTTGATGACTTCAGCCTCTAAAACATTCATAAAATAACATTTAGAGCAAATTAAAAACTTAATATAGCATGATATAATATTCTGCTTGGGAACAGTGGTAATGTGATTGTGAGCATAGTATGTAAATCAAACCTTTCTTCACAGGGGTTGCTTTAGCTTTCTCTTTGACAATTTCAGCCTCTAAAATAATAAGAGTAATAAAAAACATTGAAAAAAGCCCTATGGCTTGGCTAAAAATTGATGACTCAACTAAAATAACCTAATTATTTTAAGAGGCTGAAACCTGATTTGCTTCACAGGATATCACACTAAAAATAGAATCAAATAAACTCATACCTTCCTTCACGGGGGCTGCTTTAGCTTCTTCTTTGATGGCTACAGCTTCTGAATTAGAGACGATGAAAAACATTTATAAAATGTAAAACACAGATAAGGAAAACTTTTAATTTAACATTATTAAATAGTTTAATATAGCTTAAACTTTATTCTATCAGATGTTAATCTTACAAGAAAAAAGTACCTTTCTTTGGTGCTGGCTTTGGCTTTTCTTTGGTTATTTTGGGTTCTATAAAACATTGGCAGTAGCACTTTAAAATAGCAAATGGCAAATAGCAAATAAATTGACAATTTTGTAACGTGAATTTTGAATTAAAATGTCAACTAGATAAGTACCCTTTTCTTTAAGAACTGGTTTTGCCTTTTCTTTTGGAACCTCAACTGAAAAGGCGCGAAACATAAATACGTATTTGTTTCTGAGAAAATCTTTTGAAATATGAAAACATGCATATAATATGCATCAGATGTGCAATGTGCAAATATTAAAAGATAATGATCGATGACACTATATACCTTTCTTTGTAGGTTCTGGCACTGGTTCAGGTGCCTTTTCTTTATGAACTTCAGGCTCTATAAAAGAGCAGTTTCAAGTGATGAATGATCATTCATTGGGAAGCAACATCATTACAGGATGATTTTATTCACATCAATACCTTTCTTTACAGGAGCTGGCTTAACTTTCTCCTTGATGACTTCAGCCTCTGCAATTATGACAACATAAGAATGTTTAGAGAAAGCAAACATTTTATTTGCACAGTCTTAATTTGGCTTAAGAATTATGGCAATTTGATAACAGTTAATCAAACCTTTCTTCTCAGGAACTGGTTTAGGTTTCTCTTTGATGACTTCAGCCTCTAAAATCATGATAATATAATATATTTAAAGCTTTATCATTATCTTTAAACTGGGCAAAATAGAAATACGAAATGAATGCATTACGAATGAATTGCATTACCTTTCTTTGGTGCTGGCTTTGGCTTTTCTTTGACTATCTCAGGTGCTATAAAACATTGGCAGTAGCACTTTAAAATAGCAAATGGCAAATAGCAAATAAATTGACAATTTTGTAACGTGAATTTTGAATTAAAATGTCAACTAGATAAGTACCCTTTTCTTTAAGAACTGGTTTTGCCTTTTCTTTTGGAACCTCAACTGAAAAGGCGCGAAACATAAATACGTATTTGTTTCTGAGAAAATCTTTTGAAATATGAAAACATGCATATAATATGCATCAGAGGGGGGGGGGGGGGGTTTAACGTCAAACCATTTTAGAAAATCAGGCAGATATTTCAGTTTGACAATGGACTCCAATACATTCTTAATATATTTAGTTTTTGAAATGCTGAGATAAAATATTTTCTCTCATTTTTTGCTATGGGAAAATCTCACCTATTTTTGGTGCCGGTTCAGGTGCCTTTTCTTTAGCAACTTCAGGCTCTAGAAAACGGTTTTAATTCATGTAATGAATAATCATCATACATAAATAAAAACAGCATATGCAGGATGCTTTCACTGTCATCCATACCTTTCTTTACAGGAGTTGGTTTAACTTTCTTTTTGATGACTTCAGCTTCTGAAAGAAAAATATTTAGTTGAATGAGAAAAACTTGATTTGAGTAAATTAAAGCCTGGTCTTTAACTTGACAGCACATATCAAGCTACAATAAGAAACTATTACCTTTCTTCTCAGGAGATGGTTTAGCTTTCTCTTTGATGACTTCGGCCTCTATAATGGAGATAATATAAAATATTTAAAGCATTAGCATTATCTTAAAACTGGCAAAAATAGAAAGTTAAAAAAATAGTTCTGACACTGTTTTTCACAAATAAATTGCATTACCTTTCTTTGGTGCTGGCTTTGGCTTTTCTTTGGTTATCTCAGGTGCTGTAATAAAAAAAAAAAAGAATAAAATAAAATATCGGGTAAATATTTAAGTTCGAAGAATACCTAACAATGAAGTTTAATACATTCTTAACATCTTTAGCTTTTGAATATGAAATATTTTTCTCAGTTTTGTATGTGGAAATCTCACCTATTCTTGGTGCCGGTTCAGGTACCTTTTCTTTAGCAACTTCAGGCCCTAGAAAACGGTTTTAATTCATGAATATAATAACCATCATCATACAACAGTCATCATTCAGAGGAAAAAAAACAGCATATGCAGGAGGATTTCACTAATATTCATACCTTTCTTTACAGGAGCCGGTTTAACTTTCTCCTTGATGACGTCAGCTTGTGAAATTATGAAAATATGTACAGAATGAGAAAACTTTAGTATCTTCATTGAGTTTGATTAAATTTGAGATTAGCCTTTAATTTGAGCACATATCAAGTCACAATATCGGTAACTCTTACCTTTCTTTTCAGGCACTGGTTTAGGTTTCTCCTTGATGACTTCTGAAATTGTCAAAATATAAACATATTCAGAGATGTCTAAATACATATAATACAGTGTCAATGTACTCCTCTAAAACTCAAAAATTTTACAATGAAAGCACACATTATCGGTCGGTGTTGAAAAAAAAAACTTTTGGGGGGTTTCGGTTCAGGGGCCTTTTCTTTAGGAACTTCAGGCTCTAGAAAATGGTTTTAATTCATGAATATAATAACCATCATCATACAACAGACATCATTCAAAGGAAAAAAACAGCATATATGCAGGATGATTTCACTGATATTCATACCTTTCTTAACAGGAGCTGGTTTAACTTTCTCCTTGATGACTTTGGCCTCTGAAATGATGAAAATATTTACAGAATGAGAAAACTTTAGTATCATCATTGAATTTGAGTAAATTTGAGATTAGTCTTTAATTTGAGCACATATCAATCCACAATATCGGTAACTCTTACCTTTCTTTTCAGGCACTGGTTTAGGTTTCTCCTTGATGACTTCTGAAATTTTTTAAATATAAACATATTCAGAGATGTCTAAATACATATAATACAGTGTCAATGTACTCCTCTAAAACTCTAAAAAATGTACAATGAAAGCACACATTATCGGTCCATGTTGACAAAAAATCAACTTTTTGGGGGTTTTAGTTCAGGGTCCTTTTTTGTTTAGCAACTTCAGGCCCTAGAATACGGTTTTAATTCTTGAATATAATAACCATCATCATACAACAGTCATCATTCAAAGGAAAAAAAAACGCATATATGCAGGATGATTTCACTGATATTCATACCATTCTTAACAGGAGCTGGTTTAACTTTCTCCTTGATGACTTCGGCCTCTGAAATGATGAAAATATTTACAGAATGAGAAAACTTTAGTATCATCGAGTTCGAATAAATTTGAGATTAGTCTTTAATTTGAGCACATATCATTCCACAATATCGGTAACTCTTACCTTTCTTTTCAGGCACTGGTTTAGGTTTCTCCTTGATGACTTCTGAAATTTTTTAAATATAAACATATTCAGAGATGTCTAAATACATATAATACAGTGTCAATGTACTCCTCTAAAACTCTAAAAAATTTACAATGAAAGCACACATTATCGGTCCATGTTGAAAAAAAAATCTAATATTTGGGGGTTTTAGTTCAGGGGCCTTTTTTTAGCAACTTCAGGCCCTAGAAAACGGTTTTAATTCATGAATATAATAACCATCATCATACAACAGTCATCATTGAGAGGGAAAAAAAACGCATATGCAGGATGATTTCACTGATATTCATACCTTTCTTTACAGGAGCTGGTTTAACTTTCTCCTTGATGACTTCAGTCTCTGAAATAATGAAAATATGTACAGAATGAGAAAACTTTAGTATCATCTTTGAGTTTGAGTAAATTTGAGATTAGTCTTTAATTTGAGCACATATCAATCCACAATATCGGTAACTCTTACCTTTCTTTTCAGGTGCTGGTTTAGGTTTCTCCTTGATGACTTCTGAAATTGTCAAAATATAAACATATTCAGATATGATAAAATACATATAATACAGTTTTAATGTACTACACTAAACTGGGCAAAAAGTTTACATGAAGCACAGATTATCAACCTGTGTTGAGAAAAAAAATCACCTCTTTTGGGTTTTGGTTCAGGTCCCTTCTCTTTAGGGACGTCAGGCTCTATAAAACAGTATTTTTTCATGTAATAATTTCATCAGTATACAGTTGTGTAACAGCAACACAAGCTGATTTTACAAACACACATACCTTTCTTTACAGGAGCTGGTTTAACTTTTTCCTTGATGACTTCAGCCTCTAAAAAAGGAATAATGTAGAAATTAGTGGGGACTATTTTTTAAACAATCTTAGTTTTTTTCCTCATTGATAATGTTAACAGTAAATCAAACCTTTCTTCTCAGGGGCTGGTTTTACTTTCTCTTTGATGACTTCTGCTTCTAAAAATGAGAAAATACAAACATTAAAGAGAAAACAAAATACATATATTAAAGTTTTATACTAATCTGCAAGGGGAAAAGTATTAGAGTATTACGCTAAACTGCCAGGATAAAAAGTTGACATTACTTTTTTTAAATGACATTATCTTCTTGTGTTGGGAAATAAGCTCACCTTTTTTGGGTTTTGGTTCAGGAGCCTTTTCTTTAGGAACTTCAGGCTCTGCAAAACAGTATTTTTTCATGTGATAATTTAATCATTATGCAGGGGAAAGTGACAACATACGCAGAATGATTTAATGAAAAGATATTCATACCTTTCTTTACAGGAGCTGTTTTAACTTTCTCCTTGATGACTTCAGCCTCTGAAATGGCAATGATAAAATTTAGAGATCGTAAAATCTTATATTAAATTCATCCTTAACACGGGATAAAATTACACCATGTAAAAAAAAAAAACTCTTAACTCTTCCTGTACCTTTCTTCTCAGGGGCTGGTTTAGCTTTCTCCTTGACTTCAGCCTCTGAAAAGATAAACTGTTTTTAGCATAAACCTTTTTGTCATTGATAGTGTTCATTTAAAATCAAACAAAATCAAACCTTTCTTTTCAGGGGCTGGTTTTACTTTCTCTTTGATGACTTCAGGTACTAAAATTGTAAAAATATAAACATTTAGAGAAAACAAAATACATATATTAGAGTTTTATACTAATCTTCAATGGGAAAAGTTTACATTAAAACACATATTATGTGCAAACTTATGGAGGACGAAACCTGCGAAAACAATAAATAAGTAAATACACAAATAAATAAATAAATGTGTGCATAAATACACGTATTGTTTAAATACATAAATAAATAATTAAACGTGATGTTTTGATGAAAGGCAAATAAATAAAATTAATTGGGCAAATGGAAAATGTTTAGGGAAATGTTAAACTCATCCTAACTATTTTCCTTTGATCACTCATTTATTTCTTACTGTAGCATTTTTACAGTCTTTTACCGTTAAATTCACGGCCATTTTTTACAGTGTGCCATCAAAAGAACGAGCCCTTATTCCACGGATAAAGTGAATAATCTCACGATGACACCAGGATACTGATATTACAGTTGTCTCTAGAGCTGGAGACTCAATCGGGTTACAAAAAATGATGTCAGGAAACGACACTGGCCATTTCGTTGGGTCGTTTTTAAAGTCACAGATACTGTACGGACAATACAGCTCAGTTTTTTTATGTATCTTGCTCTGTTGAACGTAAAAAGTGACTTTACGTAGGCCATACTGGATTAATAACATGCATTTCCTATCAGCGGGAAAGGATTGTTTTCCCCATGCCGCGCCCCCAGCTATGACATGACCCAGACTAAGTCCATGGTTGATACCCTCTCATTAGCATGTTGCGCAGAGGAAAAATAAATGTGGAACTACATTCAGAAATAAATGAGTGATCAAAGGAAAATAAATAGGATGAGTTTAGCATTTCCTTAAACATTTTCCATTTTCCCACCAATTTATTTTATTTATTTGCCTACTTTAATCACATGTTTAATTATTTCTATATGTATTTAAACAAGAATTTGTGTATTTATACACACAATTATTTATTTATTTGCATATTTATTTATTTATTTGTGTATTTATTTATTGTTTTTGCAGGTTTCGTCCTCCATACAAACTCACCTCTTTTGAGTTTTGGTTCAGGAGCTTTTTCTTTAGGAACCTCAGGCTCTATAAAACAGTATTTTTTCCATGTGATAATTGTGTCAGCGGTAATGGAAAGGCAACAGTAACACATTGCGATTTCATTGATAGCCATACCTTTCTTTACAGGAGCTGGTTTAACTTTCTCCTTGATGACTTCAGCCTCTGAAATAGCAATGATAATGAGAGGTATGAGATAATATAAGAGATCGTAAAATATATTTATGAGAAAATTATAACTTCATCTTTAACACCAGGAAGAAAAAAAAAATCACCAAAAAAAAAAAGAGTTAACTTACCTTTCTTCTCAGGGGCTGGTTTAGCCTTTTCCTTGACTTCAGGCTCTAACATGATTATAACATTAAAGTATTAGCATTTACTTAAAATCAGGGACTTTTATGGCTTTATTCTTATGAAAAATTGCAGTACCTTTCTTTGGTGCTGGTTTTGGTTTTTCTTTAGTTATCTCAGGTGCTGCAAAACATGAAGGTTTAACTTCAGATGTTATCTTTTAAAATAGCAGCTGTGATGTTATAAGTTAACACATAAGTTGTCAAATATCCTGTAATACACATTTCTGTAATACTAGCAAATATAAACAAGCCATAATTGACTGTTTTTGCCAACATCTACTGATGTGTTGATAAATCAGCAGTATTAGGTCATATACTAAATGTGTACCTTTTTCTTTAGGGACTAGTTTCGCCCTTTCCTTTGGAGCTTCAACTGAAAGGTTTTGGAAGATAGATATGAATGTTTCAGAACAAAACCTTAAAAACTGAAACATAACTTTCAAGTATTCAAAATCACACAGATTACCAGAAAAACACGCATATAATACCTCTCTTTGCAGGTTCTGGTGTTGGTTCAAGTGTCTTTTCTTTAGGAACCTCTGGCTCTGTAAAACCGAATGGTTTGTTGTGATAAATGATCATCATACATTATCAAATCATTAATATGTGCAGATTTTTTAACTGAATCCACACCTTTCTTTATAGGAGCTGGTTTAATTTTCTCCTCGATAATTTCCGCCTCTACAATGATGATAATATACAAATATTTATATATTATTTGTATCGCATTTTGCTTATAAAAAATTCAAACTGATAGTTGAGAGTTAATCAAACCTTTCTTCTTAGGGACAGGTTTAGCTTTCTCTTTGATGACTTCAGCCTCTACAAAACAGAAGAATATTTCAGTTTCATGTTAAACAGTTAAAATATAAATAGATTGACCATATTTTTGGTAAAAGTTTACAATGCAAAAAGAACTGAGAGGAAAAAAACTCACCTATTTTGGGTTTTGGTTCTGGAGCCTTTTCTTTAACAGCATCAGGCTCTTTAGAACAGTATTTGTACATGTGATAAATGATCATTATAATGTCAAAATCAGCAATGCAAGAAAATGTTGTTGATATCCCCACCTTTCTTTACAGGAGCTGGTTTAGCTTTCTCCTTGATGACTTCAGCCTCTGAAAGAAAAGTATGTGAACATTTAAAAAACATATCATGTTATATTTTTTGAGAGAAAATATTAACTTTAACTTGGGGTAAAAGCACACATGATAATGTCTACCTTTCTTCTCAGGGGCTGGTTTAGATTTTTCCTTGATGACATCAGCTTCTAAAATATTGATAATATAAATAATTTTAACATATTATTAGCAAAATATTGCTCACAGACATTGTTAATTTAATTGTTAACACAGTAAACCAAACCTTTCAACTTAGGGACTGGTTTAGCTTTCTCTTTAACAGCTTCAGGTTCTATAAAACAGAAGGATATTTAAGTTTCATCATGTCAAACAATGATTTTTTATTTTTTTTTGCTATAATTAGACCAACCATATTTATGATACAAATGTAAAATGTTCTAGAAGGCCTATGGGACAGTCTTTTCACCTTTTTTGGGTTTTGGTTCAGGAGCCTTTTCTTTAGCAACTTCAGGCTCTATAAAACAGTATTTTTGCATGTGATATTTGATCATTATAATGTCAAAATCAGCAATGCAAGATAATGTCACTGACATCCATACCTTTCTTTACAGGAGCTGGTTTAGCTTTCTCCTTGACTTCAGCCTCTGATGAGAAAATATTTAGAGAATGTGAAAGATTCTATTTTATATCATTTTTATATTTTAATTTTTAAGGCAACATATTAACTTGATTTTTAAGTTTGGATGAAAGCACGCATGAAATGATAACTTCTACCTTTCTTTTCAGGGGCTGGTTTAGCTTTCTCTTTGATGACTTCAGCCTCTAAAATGTTGCAAAACATTTTAACATATTACATTTATCTGAGAGATAGTGTAAACACAAATAAATGTAAGTAGGCATACCTTTCCCTTTCAGTCGGTCACTCTCGACGTCACGTCGGATCAGGTCAGTGTTACACACACCCAGACCCCGCCTCGGACCGGCTACGAGACGCCCGGGCCGGGTCCCTGCGTTCTTCCCCGCTGCCCCACTGCGGGTATGCCTGTAGTTCCGGTGATGCCATTTGCGCGGTGTCTGGGATCCTGGCTTGAGCTACCCAGCCCGTCTCGATGGCTCCTTCGAACC